TAAAAAAAAAAAAAAATGTTATGAGTTAAAAGGACTGTAAGATCATGTCTTTATTTGTTGTTCTAAATTTTTTAAATGCTCTTTTCATAGTGTGTGTATGTGTATGTATGTATATATATATATATATATATATATATATTAAAATGATATTATATTTTAAAAATGTAGTAACTTGCTATTAGGCCCCATTAATGTGGTAAATACAAAAATAAGATTTCTTTCATTAGTTTATTATTATATTACAGCAGTATTTTTATTAGTATGTTAGCATGGTAAATTTTTTTGTAAGTGATTATAATCCATGGAATAGAGCTCACTGGCTGGAAAAGTTATTTTAATATTTCTGAATCAAGGTTTGTAAATTCATATTTTGTGTAAATCAAGTCTTGTGGTGACCAGTTGGCATCATTTCATTTTTCAGGTTTCAAATCCAAAGAGGGAAGGCTGACCCAAATAACTATAAAGGCCTTGGAGACTGTTTCAGAACTATATTTCGCACTGAGGGGTAAGTTATAAATGTCTGTCTGTCCGTTGTCCATTCGTTTATCCATTTGTCCATCCATCCATCCATCATACTGTATTGTATTGCCATGCCATCAAAATTTATCAATAATTTCATTTATAATTTAGTATATCTACCAAGACGTATCAGACACCAAAATAAAACTTAAAAAATAAACACTTTTAGGATATTTGTAGTTTATATAATATAATATGGAATTGTCTGGTGGTACAGTTTTTGTTTAGGTTTCCAATCTTGACCCTGTCCTTCATCCCCATTCATTTTTGTTTTGAAATACATCTTTACTTTAATTTGTTACTTAATTTTAAATTTTTCAGTTACTATTACTTTTTTCGTTGGAAGTGTGAATGACACTTCTGGTTTGTAATGTTTTCTTTCAGTACTTCTCATCTGCTGTTTTCATGTATACAGTGTAAACTAGGCACACATGTCTGCTGTATGCATGGTAACAACATACACCTGGTGACAGGGAATGTTTTGAGCTTTGGAAAAGTAATAAACCTGCTGTACAAAAATCACAAACTTTAACCCTACCTGTTCTGGAATATGCAGTGTGTCAATCTCAGACAAGCAAGTGAAGTCATAGGTTTATATTAAGCACTGGCAGTGGCATGCTCAACATGTGTCATGTTAACTGCCTCTGCTCATAGGAAATCACACATATGACGTAGTGTGCTTGGGGCAGAGATTTATCTGTTTCTGTCTCCCTCCTCCTTTTTTATTTTCCCTCCCCAAATGATTTGCTCTCCTTTCAGCTTTTTCTCCCCTCCCTCCACCACATAACATGAGGCACGTGTCAGATCCCAGACAGTGCGCAGACTTGAAAGAAAGCTCTGTTTATGGCAAGATGACAGCTTTACAGTGGATCTAAAGCTGATCCGCAGCAAGGTGTGAGAATATATGCGCGCGTGTGGCCCCAGGTGACACTGACGCAGCGGCTCTGGCTGGCCGTTGTGAGATCCATCGTACTTTCCCTCTCCACGGAGCTGTCATCGGCTGCATCCCGCAGGCCTCCCCTGCAGATTACGCCTCTTCTTTCTTCTAAGCCAATTATCACCCTCCGACTGTTTGTACTATGGCTGGAATCACCACACAGTAGCCAGTAGCATGATCAGCCCCAGGCTGAACCACTTAGTTTTAATTTACACAAATGGTGGTGGGAGTTACTGTTGTGAAATTATTATTGAAAATAAACATGCTCTTGCTGTATGGGCCAGCATTGCACTTTTGCTCTCGGCCCATATTTTGTTCGGTCCTCCCCTCTGTGCGGTAGAAACCTGAGCCCTTCGGCTTCCACAGACCAATTAGTTCAGAGCTGGAGATCCATCTGTGAATTGGCTCCGAGTCTGTTTGAAATGTTATGAACATTCACTTGCGTCATGATGTAGCATGTGTGAATCATCATAGAAAGAAAGCACTAATAGTTTTAGATCACATATAAATAGCTTGATTGTGCATAATTATTTAACAGTATGTGTCTTAGCCGGTGATTTATAGAACTTTTTGTTGGTACTTTAAGCAGCAGGTAAGTTGCTAAGACTCCAAAATTCTTTCAAAATTTTGAAATGGATTACTCGCACCAAGCTGCATTTTTTACATGTATTTTTAAAATATCTATCTATCTATCTATCTATCTATCTATCTATCTATCTATCTATCAATAAAAAAAAAATATTCCTGTGATGGCAAAATTGAATTTTCAGCAACCATTAGTCCAGTCTTCAGTGTCACATGATCCTTCAGAAATTATTCTAACATGCTGATTTGGAGGTAAAGAAATATTTGTTTTTATTGAAAACAGCTATTGAAAACTGAGCCACATTTTTTCAGGATTCTTTGATGAATAGACAATATATGAGTCATGGACATGATTTTTTTTGTTGTTTGTTTGTTTTTTTGCATGCATTAATTTATTGGTGATTTAAAAAATCATCATGATTTTAATTTCTGGATTTCTATAAAATAATACAACTTATGTTGTACATGAAATGCATGAGAACATATATTGGTTAAATAATTTTATAGTGGATTCTTTGAAGTTTCTGGCTGTGTTTAGACGACAGGAATGTTGTATGAATGTATTTTTCCTGTAAATGCAAAAAAGGAAGGCTTATGTTGCTTTACGTTATAAATTTTTCTTATAGTAAATATATATGTATATGTAATTAATACCATATTTATCTTTTACGTTTTTAAGTTGCATACCCTGAAATGAGTAGGTAAGGTAGTTAGTAAGGTAGTTGT